CCTAAATATATAGGTGACGTGAGGGCTAACTGAATATAAAATACAACATACGTAAGCCTAAGGAGGGGCATTACCGGAGACTGAACACATAAACCCCTTGGCCTTCCCACCCTGGGAAATCAGAGAGTCTAGGGCAGAGGCCGAGGCCCGCATCAATGGTCCGATGGGCAGAACGAAGGCACAAGCAGCCGAAGACTTCAAAGCCTTCCACGCCAAGATCCCAAGAAGCGATATACAAATCTTCTCGGATGGCTCAAAAAGTGAAAGCAAGGATGGCGCAACTGGGGGCGGATTCGTAATCTCACAATTCGATATTCAGATAGCACACCATTCTTTCTCATTAGGCACAAATGCATTTTGTGTTCGATGCAGAAGCCACAGCCGCAGTAGCAGGGGCAGCAAAAGCCCTCACTCTAGCATCAACCAAACTGGCCACAGATCTCTGGATCTTCTTAGACAACCACGAGGCTGCTCTCCGATTAGGATCCCACTTCAATGGTTCCTCACAGAGAGTCTTTGAAGACTTTCTGAAGCTCATACAAGCTTGGGCTGTTAGACCAAGGCTCCCACACACCTCCCCCGGGAAAATCCGCGTCCGATGGGTCCCAGGGCACCTGGATATCCCTGGGCAACGATATAGCTGACAAAGCCGCTAAGGGAAGGAACAAAACTCCCCTTTCCCCTCAACCCGATTTGTACGCTAGCATCCCTAAAAAGAATGATCAGAACAAGGGCCAACAAAGCAGACGAACAATTATGGAATACAGTCAGGCCACAATACTACAAAGATCTCCAACTCAACCACACTTCTAATACAGACACCCTCTCTCTGAAGAGAGCCACACTCCACTATATTCTCGCTATCAGATCACAGCATGGCGACTTCGCAGCATACCATGAACGCTTCAATCACACTACAGCCCACGTCCATTGCTCGTGCGGTAAAAGGAAAACTCCATTACACTTTTTCTTTTGCAAAAAAGGAAAAGCCTTCAAAGCGCTCACAAAGAGCCCCCCCTCCGAAGCTATCCCCTGGCTTCTAAGCAATCCCACCGGTATAGCCAAACTAGCCGAATGGCTAGAATACACCAAATTCTACACAAAAATCTGCCCGTGGCACACAGGTGCAAGATAAAAAAAATTAAAAAAAAACTTTCTTTCTTTCATTGGATTCAAACGGAGTTAATAGGTCTCTAAGGGAGCTTTTCCTTCCTCTTCTTTCCTCTCTTTCATTTTTCCCTTTTCTTTCATTCAAAAAAAAAAAAAAAAAACAAGTATGCATACGAACCACCCAAAACAAGTACGAGGAGACAGGGGAGAGAGATCAAGATTTAGTGATCTAGTGGACGAGGATGACCACAATTACAACCCCAAAAGGCCTACCGGGCCCAAACCCCCCCCCTGCGAAGGCAATCCATGTAAACCCTTGCCCTAGCCCCC